TATATATATATATATATATATATATATATATATATATATATGTATATATATGTATGTATATGTATATGCTGCAGGTGTGCCCCAGGGTTCTGTATTAGGGCCCCTTTTATTTATTATTTATATGCTCCCTCTTGGCCACATATTCCGGAAACACAATTTCAATTTTCACTGTTACGCAGATGACACCCAGCTCTACATTTCCTCAAAACCCAATTCATCTCTTCCATCTTCCTCCCTATCTGACTGTCTTATGGAAATTAGATCATGGTTTTCCTCAAATTTTCTTAAACTCAACAGTCAGAAAACAGAAGTTTTACTTGTTGGCACAGTCTCCACTTTAACCAAATCGCAGTTTTTCCATCAATATTGACAACTCCCATTTTCTTCCTTCCCCTCAGGTAAAGAGACTGGGTGTCATACTTGATAATACTCTTTCATTTCAATCTCATATTAACTCTATCTATCGGTCTGCATACTTCCATTTACGTAACATCAACCGACTTCGTCCCTTTCTTACTCCTCACGCTGCTGCCATCCTTGTCCATAGCCTTATCACCTCCAGGATTGATTATTTCAACTCTCTTCTTTTTTGTCTCCCGAATAAGACGCTCCATAAACTCAAACTCCTCCAGAACTCTGCAGCTCGGGTCATAACTTGTACCCCATTCAGAGAACACATCACCCCGGTTCTGCAGCAGCTTTACTGGTTGCCCATAGAAGCTAGAATAAATTTTAAAATCTTAACTCTCACGTTCAAGTGCATCCATAACCTTGCCCCTCCTTACCTTTGTGATCTGCTTCACATCTCCACTGCTTCCCGTTCCCTCAGATCCTCATCTGCCACTCATTTTATTGTTCCTTCTGCCTGTCTCGTCACCATGGGGAACAGAGCCTTCAGTCGCTGTGCTCCTCAGCTCTGGAACTCCCTCCCTCCAGTCATCAGGAACACAGACTCTCTTCCCTCTTTTAAATCACCACTGAAAACACACCTGTTTAAACAGACATATTCTCTTTAACTTTCTTTTAACTTTGTTTTAAGTGTTGTTTTATTGTGACTTATTTTTAATTATTTGTTGATTCTGTTTTTATTAATTGCTGATTTTAATTGGTTTTGTAATGTGACCTTGGGTTTTTGAAAGGCGCCCTGAAATAAAAATTATTACTATTATTATTATTATTATTATTATTATTATTATTATTATATATGTATATATATGTATATATATATATATGTGTATATATGTATGTATAT